TGTTAGAAATAGTTCAAGAAATTGGAAGGATTTTAAAAAACGTATGTGAGTTTCTCCTAGGCTTAAATGAGCTGATCATGACGTTTTTACAGCCCACGTGCAGTATAAATGCACCAGTCTCCATCTCAATTACAGAAGATCTTTTTCTAACAATGTGGCCTGATAAACCTTTAACGAATAAACTACTCCTGGGTAGTAAAGCACTTTGAAAGGAGCGTTACTAATTGTTTTAGGTACAAAAATATGATAAGAGTATTATAGCAAAACTGCTGATAAAGTATAGTAAAGAATACCTCACAAACTGAAAGTACTCTTACTAAGTTGAATAAATTTTAAAGGGAAAAGGTATAATGTTTATATTACACTGTTTGAACTTGAGACCATTTCAGATCATTTTGGAAGTAATTTAATTCATTGGAGTATTTGTAATGTGTATTTCTGAAAATTCTAGTCTTAATTATCAGAGAAGTATATCTGAAGAGTTTAGACTACTTTAGGAATATATTAATTGGGAAAGAATATACGTAGTGATACAGTTTCAGCTGGCATGGCTATGTTTGTCATTTCTACAAGAGTCAGATGAGGTCATCTGCCTGCTGTGTTGTAAGGTGAATGTAAATTCATATGACCATATGTAATGAAGATGAAGAAAGATTCTCATTTATTTTTATTTAAGCCAACACAGCTCAGAGTCCTTATAAGAAACTCAAAGAAGCATTATCATCAGTGGAAGCTTTTGAAAAACACTACTTAGTAAGTATCACAGTTGTACTTGTCTGTCCACAGAGCGAACCGGTTTCTGAAAGACTTTGTCCTGCTACATGGCCTTTTGGATTGAGAAGGAGCTGGTGTTTGGGACCTTCTCCTTGTTGGCCTTTATGGTTTCTTTGGTGCCCTAGGGAGTGGTGGACAAAACAGGGAATAATTATTGTTCATCAAATGTTTATTAGTACCCATAGTACTAATAATTAGGCATGAAAGCATCTTTGAATACTTAAAATTTTGCTCAAATTGGGTTTGCTCATTCAGTAGAATAGAAATTGTAAGAGAGGGTAATGAATCCTTTTCTTTATAAAAAGGAATAATTTGGACATGGGCAGAGCCTGATTTTGAAAGATTTAAATTAGACTTCAGAAAGCAGCGTAAGTAGAAGTTCAGTGGGATCACCCATGTTCCTGGGCCACAGTGAACTCCAGAGCATTAGAGAGTAGCCTCCAGTGGTTTGTCCCTATACACAAACAGGTGAGAAAAGTATCAAAAAATGTTACCCACATATGGAAAGTACTTTGAAAAGTTAAACACTGTATTTTGGATGAATTTGTGGGTATTTCTTTTATTATTATGCTTC